TGTAGAGGGAACCAGAGTGGTCTACAAAGTTGGTCTACAAAAAAAAAAAACCTTAATCCCTGCAGCACTCTGTGGCATAGACTTTTAAAGGTAACTTTAGCGCCCCCTAAGTTTATTACCACAACTACACTCCAAAAACACAACAACTTGAAGTATAAAAGTATTAATTATATTCAAGCATTCACATCTCTGTTGCAGAGAGTACGTTTGGGGCCTTATATTGATGCACTTAATGGTGCACCTATGTGTGTGCACTCCTTTAAAAGAGCTGGAGTGCATTGTGGGCATTTTGTGCTTTTTCAATTACAAAACCACTCAAATAGATCCATAATTGAAATTAAGCAGTCTAATTACAATATTAGAAGTATCGGGGGAGGAAAAAAACTCCCTTTAATATAGCAATGGTGTAATTTTCCTCATGATATGGGTTTATCGGTGGCCTGATTATTTAAAGACATTTCACAATAGCACACGGACTGAGAGAGGCCCTCACCCGGTGATTTCCAGCTGCACCATATTAAAGGAGCCAGTCTTGCAGTAAATGAAAGAGTCCCAAAGGGGTAGGGGATGTAATTGCCCCCACACCTTCATCCAAACAGCCCAATAGGATGCTTTCCAGCACTAGAGATACCCCTGTGTAAACCCAGATAAATGCAGCAGTGTGTCAGCGTCCTTATCGGTTTAAACTATAGATGTGCAGATGTGAAGGGTTTCGACCCTCTCCGCCTTCTCTTGTGTTGAAATAACAGGAGCGCACGAGGGCTACAAGGATTTATGCTCATGTACACTTTTTCCGTTGTGTTTTTCATAGGCTTGTGTCATAAGTGGCTGGAATGATTTATGGCTTATTATTGAATCGGTGCTGCATGCAGACCCATAGCTCATTATGAGATTATATTTATGTACGTCATGGCACACATAATGTACACACAAAATCAAAGAAAATATAAGAGCATTGCCCATGACTGGAATTCGGGATAAATTGACCATGGCCTGGCATATATCAGAGACGACCACTGTTTGGCATATTAACACCGACTCTATAGCTGAAAAGGGACAAATTAAAATGTCAACGGCTCTGCGCTATATCAAAACGAAAGAGCAAGCGCCTTACCTTCAGCCATCTGTCTTTCTTTTGCTTCTGATGAAGGGCCACGCCATACCTCTCCACCGCTGATTGGTGTGTTGCGTACAAGAGGTTTTATTGTTTGTTTGTTTGTTTGTTTGTCTGAGAGCAGATACCGGAGTCAACGGGAAATTATACCAGAAATTATTGCAAACCCCAGGGCCAAAAGTTTGCTGAATGTGAATCGAAGAAGCCTTTACACCAAGACAGTGTGCTAAATATATAGACATACATATATGTGCTCAAAATAAACCCAGCTGACCTCATTAAAAGTGGTAACTTTGACACATATTGACTATTAACTGAGTGCTGCTTGGCTGATGTCTGTACAGTAATGATCAGGAGGAGGCGCAGGTTCTGTTTGGGGACATGAAATAACTGAAGAGGGCTGTCCTGCTCCTCTGAGACGCAAGATAGACAGCGATAGTGTCATTGGTGCATAAATGAGAAAGAGAGCTCAGTGGGCCGCACTGCTGGGCTGTGTTTTGCTTGCACAGTACTATGGGTAATTATGGTGCTGTCATTGACTCATCAGGCCCATACTCAGTGAAGGTTAAAGAGAGGCTTGGGTGTAACATGCACTTGCTTTCACTTTTTTTACTCTTTTCCTGATCTTCTCTTTTGTTTATTGTGTAGGTTTTTCTATAATTCTCAAATATGTTTTTCTAATGTCTCGTTCTCTCAGTTTCGTTTTATTTGGGTGAATCTCACACTCTCAGACCTTTCAAGAACTTAACCAGGTCATATTTCACAAAAATGACATGCAAATAAATGGAACTGAACACTTAGAAAATTCCAATAAACAGGTTTTGAATAGAGAGTAATGTTTTCCAACATCCAGCTCCTTCACAGTCAAGCTATTTTTTGGATGTGCCTGCATTCTTTTATCTTTGGTCATGTTTCACCCCGAAATGACACAACTTTTGCATTTTCCTTTGAATTCTTTGTAATACCGGAAATCTCATTCTTATTAAAAATCAATAGTACTTGCTATACTGCTATTAATTAATGCTGAATTAAATGAAAAATTAAGTAAACATACTCATTAAGTAAAACATGGATTCAACATCTATGAAGAAAAAAATGACAACGCAAAAATTGTATTATTATATTATATAATATAAAATAATATTATAATATTTATAATATATATATTATATATATATAATGTTTTTTTCTTTAGATTTTGGGGTAAAGTGTCAGAAATGTAGACTGATTAAAAATATATATTTTTATACTTAAAGTCAGCCAGTGAGATTAGAGCTTGTGAGATTGAAAAAGAGCATTCCTTTTTTTATGTGCAATATCCATCTAATGGATTGCGGGCAGTCAGTGGGTGTCTGTGGCCAAGACTGTGTGAAATGTGACCTGGACATGTTTTCACCAATTTATTGTTACACACACTGTTTCAAGTTTCATTCTGTCTGTTTCACTTTCACATCCGTGTATGTTTCCTTAACATGCATAAAACCTGATTCTCTCTCTCAACTCTCTGCCATCTCTCCCAGTCTTGACCCTGAGTTGTCCCTGCTCTCCTCCAGGCTGGGTCTGGCCCCAGTGGTGGCGTGAGGCTGGGGAAGTGTGTGTGGGGGGAGAGAGATGAGGGATGGCACAGGCCTGTGATTGCATCTCTAAACAATCCTCTCCATCTGCTCTCTCAGCCCTGCGTGCCAGCACCTTGTGTCTCACCTACAACAACCTACCATCTCCCCTGCCTCGCACACACCCCTCCAGAGCGGGAGAGCAGCCAGACGCTCTCACACACACCCCACGCTCAAGGTTTCAGAGATAACCACCATAGAGAGGCTTCCCCAAACAGGGATGCCTTACCGTTTCGTTCTCCAAACTCTCAGATTAATGCTTAATAATCAGCTGGGAAAGGTTGGACATTTTAGTTTAGTTTATGCAGTGCTTCACATTTGGAGTAGATTCTTTTTTTAAGAATTTTGCATATTGTTGGGTATGCTCTCATTTAATTTTTCTTGAAAAAATCAGTTATTGAGTCAGATGCACAATATTTCTGTGCCACACTTGATGGCACAGAAGTTGTTATTAGAGTTTTTTTTTTTTTTTTTTAGT